GCTCAGCCTGCGCGTCCGGAGCCTGTGCTCCGCAATGGGAAAAAAAAAAAAAAAAGAATCCCCATGCCCTTTAGAACTTACCCTCCACTTCCTCCTTCTCACACCCCCATCCCCACCTCCAGCCCTAAACAACCATGAAGCTACTTTTTTTTTTAACATCTTTATTGGAGTGTAACTGCTTTACAATGTTGTGTTAGTTTCTGCTGTATAACAAAGTGAATCAGCTATACATATACATATATCCCCGTATCTCTTCCCTCCGGCGTCTCCACCCTCCCACCCTCCCTATCCCACCCCTCTAGGTGGTCACAAAGCATCGAGCTGATCTCCCTGTGCCATACAGCTGCTTCCCACTAGCTATTTTGGTAGTGTATGTATGTCAGTGCTACTCTCTCACTTCGTCCCAGCTTACCCTTCCCCCTCCCCGTGTCCTCAAGTCCATTTTCTGCGTCCATGAATCTACTTTTTATCTCTGGGTTTGTCGGTTCTGGACATTTCGTTTAAATGGAATCATACACTGTGTGGTCCTTTCTCACTGACTTCTTTCAGCAGAATATTTTCAAGATTCATCCATGTTGTAACCTGTATCGGCACATCATTCCCTTCTTTTTTTTAATGATGGTAAAATAGATAAATAACAAAATTCACCACTTTAACCATTTTTAGGTGTACAATTCAGTGGCTTTAATTACCTTCACAGTGTTGTGCAACCATCACCACTGTTTGCAAAACTTTTCATCACCCCAGAGTCTCTATAACCATTAAGCAATAACTCCCTCATTCCCCGCCCCTCAGCTCCTAGTAACCTCTAATCTACTTTCTCTTTCAATGAATTTGCCTATTCTAAATATTCCATATAAATGGAATCATAAAACATTTGTCCTTTTGTGCCTGGCTTATTTAACTTAGCATGTTTTCAAGGTGCATTCATGTTGTAATGTATCAGAATTTCTTTTTTTTGGGGGGGGGGGCGCGGTACGCGGGCCTCTCACTGTCGTGTCCTCTCTTGTTGCAGAGCACAGGCTCCAGACGCGCAGGCTCAGCGGCCATGGCTCACGTGCCCAGCCGCTCCTCAGCATGTGGGATCTTCCCGGACCGGGGCACAAACCCGTGTCCCCTGCATCGGCTGGCGGACTCTCAACCACTGCACCACCAGGGAAGACCCCAGAATTTCATTTTTTTTTAAGCCTTGTCTTCCTTTACCTTTTTTTGAGTACTTGCCAGATTTTTTTACCCTACTCAGACATACAGCTTTTTAAATTGTGGTAAATATAAAAAATATAAAAAATATATATTATATATATTATATATAATATATATATATAAAGTGGACAATCTAGTGGCATTAAGTACATTCACAATGTTGTGCAACCGTAACCACTAACAACTTCCAGAACCATTTCATCATCCCAAACAGAAACTCCATACCTATTAAATATTAACTCCCCATTCCTCCCTCCCCCCAGACTTTAAGAACCTGCAATCTACTTTATATCTATAAATTTGCCTATTTTAGGTACCTCATATAAGTAGAATCATACAATACTTGTCCCTTCATGTCTGGCTTATTTCACTTAGCATAATGTTTTCAAGGTTCATCCATATTGTAGCTTGTATTGATATCAGAACTTCATTCCTTTTTATGGCTCAATAATAGTCCATTGTATGTATAAACTACATTTTGTTTATTCATCTATTGATGAACACATGGGTTGTTTCCACATTTTGGCTATTGTGAATAATGTCGCTGTGAACTTTCACATACAAATATAACGTTTGGGGCTTCCCTGGTGGCACAGTGGTTGAGAGTCCGCCTGCCAATGCAGGGGACACAGGGTCGAGCCCTGGTCCGGGAGGATCCCCCATGCTGCGGAGCAACTAGGCCCGTGCTACTGAGCCTGTGCTCTAGAGCCCACGTGCCACAACTACTGAAGCCTGCGCACCTACAGCTCGTGCTCCACAACAAGAGAAGCCACCGCC